ACCTTGAAGCGTGAGTATCTTTATCCCGAGTTAATAGTTTACCCGCCGAAATTTTTACTGGGCAGTAGGTGATACTTAAGAGCGCGGGAACGCTGAATTTGAATGGGCAAGGTTGAGCGTGGGCAGGGGGTCGTTACCCTAAAATTTCAGCCTTCTAGGCTCCGTGGTTTCCGAGATATTAATTTACCCGTAAAAAATTTTCACGGGGCTATACTTGCTACCCGCGGGTGCGGGGAAACTGAATTTAAATTTGTGGGGTCACACGTGGGTTGGGAACGTTCCCGTAAATTTTCAGCTTCTTAGCTTTTGTGGTTCCCGAGTTGAAAGTTGCGGACAAGTTGCTGCGGGCGTACACACACACAGACAACCCCGTGACAATATGCGTTTTGTACTGGTGTTACACAGCACACAAAGCGCATAAAAACCAAATGCTTCGCCAGTCTTTAGGCGGTATGCATTTTTGCATTTGCATAAGATGTAAAGCGCGTAAAAAATCATTCCGCGGCCTCCCGCCCTGCATTTCCGTCCGAGTTCGCTCTGTGTGCGACGAGGAGGCACTTGTAAATTGGCCGGGAGCAGCCGATGCTGACTTCCTGAGAATTCGAATTTCCTGTTTTCTCGCGGCGTAATCTCTTTTCGTTGCAGGAGATTCGCTGGCACCTTTCTTGCCGGTGTGATGGACGTTGATGCGAAGGATCAGGAGGAGATTTTGCCGCCGTCGAAGCGCTACCGTCGTGACGACAACGTGGACCCGACCAATCCCGACCCCTCCATTGTGGTGCACGTGCGTAACTTGAGCCCCAAAGCTACGGAAGCGGATTTACTCGAAGCACTGTCACATTTCGGTCCAATTTCCTACGCAACATGTATGCCCGGCAAACGCATGGCACTTGTTGAATTTGAGGTACGAAAATGCTGCAGCGTTTGTTGAATTTTTGGTAAAAAACGGATCAGTTAGCTGGAGAGTGGCGAGAGGGTTTCTCACTGATTTGCGCACATTTCAGGATGTGGAGGGAGCACGATCGTGCGTTGTTTATGCGCAAACCAATCAGATCTA